TATTTCATATTTAAAATTAACCATAAACCAAACTTTAAAGCTTACACCTTATTTTTTCAAAATTTCATTCGGGAGGTTCTAAAAAAATTAACAAAACTAAACTTCTTTTTATAATTTTTTCTAAAAAAAAAAAAATCATCAATCAAAAAGGTTTTATTAATTTCTTTCTACCCTAATGTATACATAAATATAGTAATATTATGTAATTTATAGGCTGACTTTTTATGCATGAATCCTTATTTATTTAAACGATAACTATGTTTTTTTGTTTTGACTGCCTTATTTGTCTTATAAATATTCAACTGGCAATATACTCGAAAATATGAATGTTTTATGTGCCCATAAATTAAGGTCTTGCCAATAGCTAAATTCCGATTCATGCGAAATGCTTTAAGTCAGCTAATTCGAATTGATGGCATAATCATAATTGGCAATTAGTGGACAGTTCGTGACTTATGAAAAACTATAAAATTGTTTTGGAAATTAGCTCCAATAAGCCAAACATCAGAACAATGAACCTATTAAAATCTGAAAAAGTGTCAAAGAATTGTTCTCTGAAGGTAAAAATTGTGTACTGAGAAACCTAACTCTGAATAGAGTATAAACAAACTACTTGAGTCGATGAGCTGTCAAAGGAAAATTGCCACAAATAAAGCATCATCAATATATGTATATTATGGGACAGGATAAGTTGAAATAAATACAATGAAGATATAGAATAGGATAGGATGACTCTCTAATAATCGTAGTAAAATTTAACGTAGACCCCATATTATCTACATTCGTCAATTATGTATTATGCCCTTTAGAACATAAACTGGATATTTTTTTACTGTGGGTTTTTTCATAGCCTGAGTGAGCAATTCTTTAGAATTCAATAAATGTCATTCCCTTCAAAGTAATACCCTCACCACGCTCTCCGCAGTCTCACTATCGATACCTACTTATGCCGTGGGGACCCCAAGTGCAGATTGTTTCATTCTTTCCCTAGTGCCCTGCTCCAGCCATTTCCTGCAGTCTTCTCGATCTGTCAGCCCCAAACATCAGGCGTGCCTCGCCACCACACAGTGCCCAGTTAGTATTCCCATCATGTTCCTAAAGTCTTTTCTAACGAGTGCCAATAGAAATTTTGTGTACTTCCGATCTACCGTTTTGCACTTGACTTTTGCAGTTTTGCACCCACGTAGCTCGTTCCATAGGGTTTTGACTTACCATGCTGTTGTCGAGATGGTCGTATAGTTCATTTTCGAGCCATCCGTATTCCTCGAACAATCGGAATAGTTTTTTTTTCGATATAAACTTCAAGGTTATTCGGTTTTAATGTGCTTAAGCATGTCAAAACAGCGTCTCCGCTTGGCCTTTTAAGGTTATGGAATAGCCAGAAATCGCACGCAATGCGATGGTTGCGGAACGATAAGAGCTGAGTTTTTGGAGAAAAAAGTAGGAAAGAATCAATGTAGTATGACATTATGCACTATGGAGTTTAAGGAATTAAAGAAACCAAGACGAGTAGCTGGACGCAAACGACGCATAACGTCATCTAATATCCTTTGCTGAGAGTTTGGTCCGAGGAAAGAAAAGCATGTACCCCATAACACGGTTATTACACCCCTTAAGGGGGTATTCCAGTCTAGAAATCAAATTTTGAGCACTTTTTTGAATTTTATGTAAAAAAAAAACCAAAAAATATTTTTACTATCATTTTTTATGGTGTTTTTAGTGATATCTTAAGAATAGAGAAAAAAAAATTTACAAAAATATTAAAAATTAAAATAATTAGAGGAGTGGGGAGAGACAGGTGTAGAAAATGGCGCATCCTGGTGACATTAATCCAGAAAATCCAAAGAAATTCTTAGTCAATAAGGATGCTGTTATAGTCCCTATCTCAGAGAACACGAATTTTTTTTTTTATTTTTTTTTTATTTTTTTTTTGAAAAATGGCGACTGCCTCAAAATAAAAATCATTTTTTACGCTTTTTTTTTGAAATTCCTGAATTTTTTTAAAATATTAAAAACTAAAATTTTGACACGATGCTGGTAGGAGCGATAAAGGATTATATAAAGAAGGTTCACACAAAATTTCAAGTAAATCGGTTATACAGAACTTGAGATAATGCCGGTACCGTGTGGAAAAAAGTAGTTTCGAGAAAAACGCGTTTAAAAAAGTGAACCAAATTTCAGGTAGTACCTTCAGGCAGTACCGACAGTATCTTCACTAAAGTAACTGTAGCTCTCTTTTTAAAAATCCTTTGGTTCTTAAGGGTCTAAACTTTAAATATATGTAAAAACCAAAATCGAATTTTTCAAAATTCTAGAGTAGAATACCCCCTTAAGCTTTCACCACAGTAGTATTATTCGATTCGCCAGATTTAATGGTTTTTAATTCGCTATATGGAACTTTTTGGTAGGCGCAGGGGCTGGTTGGAATCTTTTCAATAAGAACCTTCCTTGAGCGACTTCGCTACATTTTTCCAAAAAAGGAAAATTATGTGGTCTCAAAACAACTTCTGAAAAGTAGTCACTTTTGGAGTGAATTCCTGTTTATCTTTTTTGTTTTGTTTTTGGCTTATGTTGCAATAAGGAAACTTTTTACCTTAATTAATTTAAGTTTTTTTTTTTTTTTGCTTATGTGGTGAGCATATACAATTTATTTACCGCTAATGGAACATAGTGTGCTCACGTCAATATAAAATAAATCAAATTTGTGCTTGCTAATCAAAACTATACACACACACGCATGCAAATGGAAATCCAGTCGGGCAGTCGAGCACCTTAATTGCGTGTACAGCGCTTCGATACTCAATTAAAGCGATCACATAACAATTACTTAAAAACAAATTTTGTCGAAACCAGTTGGTGTTTCTGATGGACCATATCGATATGTGCGTATGTGAATGTGTGTTTGTATGCTTTTATGTCGATTGCTAATTAAAGCACTCTAACTTGATACTGTCAATGGATTTGAGCGTTGAGATGCTTCATTCATATAAAAAAATAGCGGCGTAGTGATTGTAGAGTAGCAGCATCAGCACACATACACGCACATATGCGTCAAGAAAAAGTCGCGAAAACAAAAACCACTGACATCTTGTAGAACCAAATAATTAACAGTACAGTATTCGAAGAAGATCTATTCAAGAAACCGGTCAAACTGACAAAGGCGCTACACTACGCATGCGTGCGTATGATTTGCAGGTAGATGAGTGCGGTAGATTTTGCAAACGTCACCGTTGACTAAAATTAGTCAGGCAACGCCAATAGCTTTTAGTTGTTCATTAGTAAATATGTACCTATGTATATTTGAGGCATATGAGATAATATTGTAGTAGTGCTGTCATCATCCGCAGTCATCAAAAGAAACTAATATTGAGCATATATTCTATAGGGTGGTCCATAAAGTTTTCCGAGAATGGGAGTTCAGAGGACTACTTACGGAAGACTCTGCCAGTCGCAAAAGTTCTGGTTTTTAATTAGAGTTTGCCGAGCTCTCTGAAAGTCCATAATTTCAACGTCCGGTGTATTTTGCAAGGGTACTGGCAGACTACATCCTTACGCCGCGGTCAAGAGCACAGCGGCCCAAATCAAATACCAAGTATTAAAGATTCAGGAGATCACGCAGTCAAGATTTAAGCGTCCATCAGTCCAGCTAATCCTCATACTATCTAGTTCCCGGATGTTCGATCATCACATCAGCAGGCATTCTACAATAACATCCATAGGTCCAATAGGATATCGGTATACCGAATCGCCTTCAATCGGATGAAACTGGGGTAAGAGTTCTCTAGCAAGCTTTGCAGTGTCCTTCGATTATATTGTGACTTGGCCCCTATATATATCTAATATTGAAGAAACTTCAAGCCATTACTGATGAGATTAGCCACTCCTTGACTACGTTTGAGTTCACAGTCAGCGTGCTCAAAGCTAGTATAACCGCTTCAACTAGAATTGGTATTCGCTAGGGGTTCTCCAATCTTGAAAGAACGAAATTTTTATGCGGAATTTAAAGCAATTCCTCAGATATACTGCGGAAAATAATATCTTTATTTATTATGCTCATTAGGAAGATATTACGAATGAAAAGTCAATTCAATAATTGAATTCGGATGTCCTCTGGTTCCAACAAAGCTCTCTTTAAAATCCAAAATCGATATTTTCCACTAAGAGTTTGATAACCATCAAACCTAATCTAACTTACCGCAGTAAGGCCTCAGAGGCTGTTATTTCAGATCCATTCATATTCTGGATTTTCAACAGAGACTCATAACTCCATTGGTGCTATAGAGCAAGTAACTGTCCCCATGAACTTAAAAGGATGTGGGAAGAACATAAATCTAAATCTTAATCTACAATCTCACCTTACTTTTAGTTTAATCAATTTCTAATACTGAGATCTCTGAGATAAGAACCAATCCTTAACTTCTACCATAGGAATGAGTTTTTTTCTTGGCTAAACCATATATTGACTGCCTTTTTAAATGTCCTCAGCAAACTCCCTTGTAAACTCAAAGGATCTCTTATTTTGGTCATCTACTAGAAAGTTTTTCATAAATAGAAAAAATTAAAAAAAAAAACATCATACAACAAAATTTAGTTTCTGTTTAAAGTTCTGGCGATTTGTTATTTGATTTTCCAAAAACAAACCACTGCATGGACCACCTTGTATTCGGTTTATGTTAGTTCTATTTCGATCATCTGCCCAATATTTTTTGTTTTTTTTTTTTGCAATATGTTTATCGTGACTTGTGGTATTTTTAGCTTTATGTTTTTGTTTCATCTACGCCTTCTCCATCGGCATTCTAAATTAATTAAGAGTCAAAAAAAAGTCAACTGCGACATATTTGCGACCTTTCTTGTATTCTTAGGTAAATTTTAGAGGTTTTAATTTATTTACAGAAAAAGATATGTTTAAATTAAGTTATTGTTAGCTAATAATAGACATAGAGGTAGCGGTTTCTGTGGGGTATAAAAGACAACTGTTCTGCTGACTCGTAGTGACAGTTCTCACACACAATTCAACGAGTTTAGTACAAACTAAAGTTATTGGTCTCTTGTGGTCTCTAAAATAAACAAACTCCTCAAAATGGTTGGTGAATTAGTGATACGGGCATTCATACTTACATGCAAATATAAATATTCTCAGATATTTTTACTAAATCAGAAGTAGTGTTGTGCTGAGAACCCTTTGGGAGTGTGATCTGTGTTGTGTAATTGTTTTGATTTTGTGTTATAATTGTTTTTTAATTACTTACTTCCAATTTACATCATTTAGTGTCTGATTTATTTTTAAAGATAGCGTTGTTTGTTTTCTTTTCTAATTTCCCGAAGGAAATGTTTTATACTGATAGCAATCTTTTAGTTAAATGAGAACTGAGCGTATAACATCTTCGAGTAAAACGATAAATACTGCTCTTAGCTCCTCTTTCAGTTCTTTATACTGGTAAATAGCACTAAATTTGTTTTCTAATCAAGTAGCAGCAATTAAAATACATTCCATTCCAAATTTCTTGTTAATGAAATCAAATTCAATTAAATCTATTATATAATTATCGGTTATCGATATGAAATACTTTTTTGCAATTTGTGTTATATTCTCAAACTTTTGTAAAACTTTAGCAGCTTATCGATTGCATCCGACAATTATATTTATCGAATTACATAAATCGATAAGTAATAATAATTAATCGATTTTTTGAAAGTTTTTTTTACAAAGTTAAAAAAATATCGAAATACATTAATCGATATTCGATAACGATTTATCGATATATTGGTTAATTTTCTTTAACAACGTTAAAAGTCATTATAATTGTTTGAGTGAAATTTTAAGTTAATTTCAGAATACAAGAAACATGTGTAGCGCTAAGAATAGTATCCTTCCCTGAAAAAAATTAGATTCATTGTTTAACATAGTTGCTAAGTTGCACAGATACACTGTTAATAATTGTCCTCTGATTTTCGATTTCGTTACCACTTTACTGGTACTATTTATTTACTTCACCACCACGCCAGATCCGGAAAATACTGTGGAAAAAGTTTCAATTCCAGGTCATGCAAGTTTGGTATCTTGATTCTGCTATTTTTTTTTTTTTTTTTTTTTTTTTTTTTNTTTTTTTTTTTTTGAAGTGACAGAAAACTCTTCTAAAAAATTTGCGGAGTGCTGCCGAGTTTACTGGTTTGGTCCGTTTCGATTACGAAGGCCCGACGGTGAAAGTCAGTGATTTAATGGAATGACTCTTTCTTTGATCCTACAAACATAAGAGTCACTGTTGGCGGTTTAACATTTGGTTCTTTCAGTGCGTGTGCATCCCAAAATACAGATATCATAGCTCTGACAGGTAGGTATATATCATAACTGTTCCGTCTTTCCATGCTTTGGATGCGATTAACCACAAACAGTCGTCTCAGATGACTGACGATTGAACTATGTAATCAAGCGATGGGATCATGCTTGGTCCGTACTGAAATTGTGAAGCTCGGGTTAATTTCAATATATATCACAATTATTACTAGGTATACATATATACTTTAACGATTCCCTCTATCTCAATTGACTTCAATACATGATCAACCGAACACGTTTTGTGGATTTCGATGCTAATACGCCCCTCTCAGTATTTGTTCCCGTTCTATGATTTTCAGTGGTCATGTTGATATACAGTCCAGCTTAACTTTTCAATTTTATATACTACTTAAGCAACTGAATCCAAAAAACACGGCTAACGGTACTAATTATTTCACTAATATTCATTAATTCAATTGCAGAAATTATTCCTCGTCGCATTTGCATTAATTGCCACCGCAGCGGCAGATGTCAGCCATTTGAATCGCGAGTACTTGCCACCTGTGCAACCTGGCCACCATGGCGCTAGTTCTCACTATAGCGCTGTTGGTGGTTCCGCCGGCTTTGGTTCAAGCGGCAGTTCTCACTTCGGTGCTCCTAGTGGTTCCGTCAGCTCAAGCGGAAGTTTCGGTGCTATTGGTGGTAGCGCTAACTTCGGTATAAGCTCTGGCGCCAGCGCCGGCCACAGCGGTTCAGTATCCTACAGCAGTCAGCAACCCAGCCACGATAACGGGCATGGACAACAATCGGAAACAGTGCACGTCAGTTATGACAGCGCACCAGTAGCACCACAACCTGCCCCAGCACCAGAGCAAGAGCCAGAACCCATAGCAGCCGCACCAGTCGAAGATGACGCCGCCGTCTCATATGGCTCATATGGTCAGGATGAAGTGCAACAACAATACGAAGGCGCTGCCGAGGTAGAACAGCAACAATTGGATGCTGGTGTTAGTATTGCCAATGATGACGCCGGTGTCGCCTTTGGTGGCAGCTACGATTTGAGCAGCCAAGATGCTGGCGTACAATATTTCGACCACAACACCCTGTTGACCGACAGCTATGGCAACAATGTGGGCGCTCACGAATCTCATGTGAGCCTGGCGGCAGCACAAGGTCCCGCTATCCGCTCGCCTCAGCCTGCATCATTCTCACACGCCGCTTCGCATGACGTGGTGCAACAGTATGTGAGTGCTGGTGCCGGTGCCGGTGCCGGCACTTCGTCTGGCGTGGAGACACAATATGGCTCCAATGGTGGTTATATCTATTAAATTTAGTTATTAGAAATATGGAAATTCGAGCTTTGTAATACGGTAGTTTGTTAAGCGAGAGGGAAAAGAATTAAATAACATTTGTTAACAATATTTAAAAAAAATTTCTGTTACTAAAATTCAAAAAACTTTTATTACAATTTTTTATGTTTTGAGTTTTAAAATTTTTTTTACTTTTAATTTAAAAATTTTCGAAACTTTTTTTGATAAATTTTCAACACTTTTTTTTATTGATAAATTTTCTAAACTTTTTTTTATAAATTCCCAAAGCTTTTCTTTTAATTTGTTTTTTTTTATGTTTTTTTTTTACTTTATTTTATAAATTTTCAAACTTTTTTCCTCAAATACTTTCCCCCAATTTTTGTTTTATAAATTTTCAAACCTTTCTTAAAATTTTTTTTTCGAATTTTTTTTTTCCAAAATTTTTTTTTACAATTGCTCCACTTTCAAGTAGTGAAAGGCCTGATTAATTGAGGTTGACATTCGTCGCATGCTTATTCAACCAGTCCAGCTGTACGCAGAGCTCTTCTCATTTCCTTATCTCCATTGACATGTGCATGTTACTTTCGGTTTTCGCTTCGCGCTCCAGTGAATGCCAGCCTCGTGGCGTTGCTGAGGCGCTCTTGCCGGCGCACATTCCTCAAGTTCATGAACGCCGACCACGCAGCTTATTTCGCGCACATAAGTGGTGTTATGTCACATTGCGCATGCGCTTGCGCTTCAATTATGTTGATAGCCGGTTTTCCGTGAATGTGCGATTACATTCGACTTTGGTCACTTTTTCCGCGCGATTCTTTGAATTTTTTCCACTTCACTTACTCAGCTTCTCTTCGTTGATGTTGTGCTTACTTTTGGTGCCATACGCTATGCAACTGGATCGCCTGTCACGCAGCTGCTCTTCCTTCCCCTACTCATTCCTTTGTTTATTCATAAATTGGTTGCCATTGGTTTATTTATTTTTAATTTTGATTTTATTTTCATTCAACACTTAACTGACGATCTCTACTTGTTATTATGTAAAATTATGTCTTGGTGTTGTGCCACCGCTGCCACCTTCCCGCTTATTGCACCTTTTTTGTAGCCCCTCATCACGCCGGCGTTCACCTCAGGCGGCACATCTGTCGCCGTTTAACTCTTTCTCGCTGGAATTGTAGTGCAATGGCATTTCCGTTAGCCGTTTTGCAACGGTCTCAAGGCTCCGAAACATTTCAAAACGGTACCAGCAACAACAACACACGCTCAGTTTGCTTTGAAGCTGAAATTTTTGGCTGTAATTCGCAGTTGAGTTTATAATAAAGTTTTCTATGCGGCCAAATTATAGGGCCCGAAGAGCTAAGCTTACGCGTTGAATTTACGGTATCATTCATCATGATCTGTCAGTTTCCACCTTTCTGTCATAATTTCAAATTAAACCAAATATATTTACACTAAATGCGGTCATTATAGTCAAAGAGAAAATCGCAAAATACAAAAGAAAACATTAAAAAAAAAAATTTCAAAAAATAAAATACAATTTAAACAAAAATATTGATTTTAACTTATGTCTGACAAAATTGTATCGAAAAGCTTTGTAAGCTGAAAATTAACGGTTGTTTATTTTTTCGCTTTATAACAGCATAACGGTATAGCTAGCTTACCATTAATTTGCTTTTGTTTTCAAACCGATGGTCTTTCAAATCCATGCCTCAATTTAGTTTTGATTAAATCTGGTTTGCTCCCGAAACCTTTACACCGTTATTAAACGCCTTAATCTAGAGCAAAATTTGCAAGAAAAAAAATAGACTTAATGCCGTCACTATTTGTCTCGTTTCCTAATTACATGCATTATTTTGTGGCGCCTGTGTTTTTCGACCAAGGGGCGTGCACTACTTTTCAGAAGTCCATGTTAAATAGGCTGCTTCCGTCATTGTACTTTCGAAATCGTGTTCAATTAATTAACGCTAACGGTAAATTGAATGCAGCCGAGGTATATAATGACTTTATACAAATTGAAAATGGCAAATTTGGATAAAAATTTTGAGCATATAATTGCAAAATTGCTTTAACGAGCCTTACTAGTGAAATGTTGGATTTTTTTATTTTCAATTTGCATCGAAATTGTGTGACGCAACAAAATTCCGTCACGCAGAAAGTAAAAACGCCACCATAGTGAAGACATTGTAGATTGTAAATTCTTTCTTTACTTATTTTCGATGTATAACTAGATATAAATTAGAGTGTTGCCACCAGTTTTTAAATTTAGAAACCAAAAAATAATAAAATAAAGTAAACCTGCTACATCAAGATTCCTGAGTTTTTGATATACATATAACTCAGTAAAAATTAGGAGAGTTGCCACCTTTTTTTAATGCAGAAACCACATATTAATCAAAAAAGTAAACCTTCAGTATTGTGACTCCTGATTTTTCGATGTCAAATTCAGAAAATAATTAGAGAGTTGCCACTCTTTTAAAATTTAGAAACCAAAAATTAATAAAATGAACTAAATCTACAATATGGTTAATTAAAGTTAAAGAAAGCGAATAGCTGAAAATATTATTTGGAAGAGTTGCCAACTGTATACAAACTTTAATTCAATAAAATACTGGTACAAAAGTAGATTTAAATCTTAAAATATTATTGCGTAAAAAAACTTTGAAAAAATATTGAAAAGGGACATGATATTACTTCATATTTAACTAGATTTCTATCAAGAATATTTTTAAGTTGAGTTGCCATTTTTTGTTTTTCTTTTTTTTTTTTTTAATTTTGCGATAGACATTTAAGGCATTTATGTAATATTTATTGTAAAATGGTAAATGTAATTAAATAATTTCCAAAAAGTAAAATTTACCAACTTTTTTTAGCATAGTTTTGGAAATTTGGCTCCCATTGTGTCACTGAAGTGTTATGTGTTTTTCATGCACCACATTTGGTTGTTTTAAACAATATAACCACGAACCCTGAATTTGCGATCAAGAGGCGCGAGTCCCCTGAATTCGAAACTTTTTTGGTATAAAACAAGTTAACTTCCTCTCTTTCAAGAAAAATGGGTTTAAGATCAAAAAAAAAAAAAGAATTTAGTGCCGATCCCGATACTTCAAAACCACAAAAGCTTTTGGAAAAAGAAAAATTCTTTGGAATAGTTTTATTCCAAATTAAAAAATGTTAATCATTCAATAAATCTCTTCGGTGTCTCTTGAGTGAGTCAAGTCATTCAAAACTGAAAGTAGAATTGAAAAATTTTTCCGAATATTTTGATAATTGAAAATATTAATTAATCGAAAACGTGAAAAAGTAATAATTTTACTCAGCAGTATTTCTAAAGTTTTTCTTGAGTCATAAAACTATTGCTCAGTAAAAATTTTAATCAAAATTCGACTTAACCTCTTTTAAAATAACACCGCATAAGTCTTGTGTACGCCTTTTGTTATTGTTTACTTATAATCATTGTGCCATGGTACTCTCGATGGCTTATCAATATCCGCACAAAAGGGAATCGAAATCATTTAACGAAACTGAAATTTTCCACTCAACTATAACCTCCACACTTGCATAAGAGGCGTAGCTTGAACGAAACTTGTCTTGAACGAAAATCCATATCATCATAGTTTGAAAATACCCTAAAAACAACTCACCTATCTTAGCTGAATGACCTAGATCGCGCCCCCATACCAGTGGTTAGTGTGTGTGTCTTGCCGATAGCAAAATAATTACTATTATTTCAAATGAAACGGAAACTTAAAGCCAGAAATTAAAAATATTATGCTTCATAATATATCATAACGTGAGTTATAGACCCAGTAGGAATTTTTTTCCACAGTTGGTGTTTTTTTTTTTTTTTGTGCAGAACAAAAATTTTAAATATATTTTTTGTAAATTTTTTTCAAACTAAAAATGATATTGATATTTTTTTGAATGTTTTCAAATGAACATATTGTTTTTCTTACTGGATGGAGATTTCTTACCAAGATTTTTTATAAATTCTCTGAATTTACATACTACCATAAATTAGCCATGTACACCTATCCTGAACATACATATTAGATAAGACGATTTCCTTCGAGTTAGGTTAAAAATGAAAGTGGAAACAAAAGGTTACTGGCCCTAACAGCTGGCATTCATTCTGCAATGACTGTGCAGATATAAAACATTCTGTGACTTTGAAACTTTTCAAAGAATATAATATAGGAATACCGCATTGTTTCATTCATATGTACATATATAGATACCTGTTATTTTTTTTTCTGTCAACAGTATCTTTATTCATTAAGTTAGTATTTTCTGATCGACTATTATTGACATTTCTTAAGGTTATTGATGTTACTATTGTTTCGAGAGCTGCTAAACTTTCTTATTTGTGCCAATTGATTAAATTTAACTCAAATATAACAATTATATATATGAAAAATATCGATTTTTTTCTAGAAATCTTTTTAATTCCACGAAGTTAAAATCGACTATATCAAAGTAAATGACAAAATAATGATTATTTGTTATATAGTTCTCCTACTAATTAAATTTTAATTGAATACATCGATTACATTTACCTTGTCATTAAAAAATATCGATAACTTATTACAGATATTTTTAAATAAATGAAATATAATAATTATATATTGCGATAAATTAAATAATATCGATTAAATGTTAAAGATTTTTTTGAAGAAATTAAATTAAAATCGATTATAACGAAATAAAAGACAAAATATCGATTAGTGGACATATATATATATATTTTTTATTAATTAAATTTAAATCGACAACTGTTATTTTTATCGATAGCTTTATTAGTGACGTAAAAAATATCGTTAAACTGTTATAGATCTTCTTAACTAAATGAGATTTAAATCGAATATAACAAAAGTTTTTATCGATAAATTAAAACTATCGATTAACTTCTACAGATTTTTTATCGAAGTGATATTAAAATCGATTACTCATAGTTTTTTTAAATGATTAAAATTATTCAAATATATCGAATAAATTTATCTGAAAAATACGAAATTTCTATTAATTGTTGTACATTTTTTATTATTATAAAAATTGAAAGTCCTTGCTTTTTTGACTTTTTTACAATTAAAAACTGTTTCAACATTTCTACCGACACATTG